ATTATCTTTTTTTTACTGCTTGTTGCCCCCTTCTAAAATAAGTATTTAATATTGCATTTCCCTATCTAAACATTGTATTTTTATTTATTCCTTTATTTATTTTTATCATATTCAACCTTTACTAAGGACACTGCCTGAATCAGATGTTGCAGTAGGCCCTGGAAATAGAAGGGTGAACATCTCAGACATAAAGCCCACTATCATAGAACTGATGATTTAGGAGAGGACAAAGACATGGTGTGAGTAATTATAAGAGCCCTATTAAATTTGAGTAAATTGGTTTCTAACCTATTGTTTCCTACCTCTAAAACCTCTGGTTTATAAATTTGCGAAGCTGGGCTGGAACTCTCTTGACATGTTGTGTCTCCTTGAGATGTTCCACCAATAGGGGTTCTAGAGAAGACTGGACTGATGGGAAAGGGAGAAAGAGCACCTCTTCCTACTCATGCTCTGTCCCTGTCAGCATCACCACAACAGAGCTTATTCGTACTGGAAATTATTTACTTTTTATTTTGAGCTTTTTTTTCCCCCAAATATTTTAGGACGTATATTATTATTACCCTTTAGAAATGCCATCTCCAAGCTGGTGGGCACTCCATTTTCCGAGGTCTGGATCTTAACTTCTTGTGTTCCTCTCCCTAGGTCCTGTGCCACCAACACCAATACCCAGTGTCCTCTCCTTGGACTGTATTCTCTATCTAAAGTTGGAAATTCTATGACCTCTGTTTTCCCCCTTTATTCTCTACCCCCACCTAGAGTGGGACCTGCTTCCTGCATTTCCCCTTTTGCATTTTTAGTTTTCCAATTCTTCAAATTGGTATTCCCTATAAAATTAGGGGGTTCTTTCTGATTAATATACATGACTTATTGTCTCTCTAGTTCAGTTGTGTGCAATATTCAGTATACTGTTTACTGTCTCTATGGTGTGTGTGTGTGTGTGTTTCTAATTTAGCAGTAATATATGTGTTTTTTTCCCCTTGCATAGTGGCAGTTTTCTTGATCTCAGATTTTATCCTATTTATAACTCCCTACTCTAGTGTCTCAGTTGCTATTTCCTTTGACTTTAAATACTTAAATTAGAAGTTATCTAAAAATATCTCTTGTCTCATAGAGGAAGCCATTTAATTTCAGTTATATGGTCTGTCTCCTTCATTGGTGGTCTAATTCATTTTATATGTTTAGGGATGTTTTCCCAACTATTATAAGTTGTACAGGTACCTATTTTAATTCTTTCAAACCTTGGAAAAAAACATAGGTAATTAAAAAAAGTACTGATTATTGTCAACTAGCAGCTAACTAGCTTGAATGACCCATGGTAAGAATCAGAGGTAGAACTGGAATCATGCACCTCTGTGTCTGACACTTTATTTCCATACATTTCAATATATTCACTAGTGACCTGGAATTTGGCTAGCATGTTGGTCCTGTAGACATCAGAAATGCCAGTGTCCCTAATACTAGTTTTAGAATCACTTGTACTGGATTCATTCATACTGGGTTTTTCATTTTCTGTGATTCTGATTCCTGATTGGCTACCTATTACCAGTTGATCCAATTGGTATTTGATATGTGACAGTTGATATTTCACACCTCAGTTTTTCCCTACTCTATTGTCTTTTAATATTTCATTTTTATATATCTTCACACTGAAGAATAAGAGGTTGTATTGGTCTTCAATCTGACCCTGCCTATTATCACATTAGCTAGATTTTTCTCAATGTTTCTTGCATAGACAATAACCCTTCCTACATTCCAATATCAATATAGCATTTTCCTTTTTCATATGTCTACATCTCATTGAGTTCTTGGGAATGGAAAAAGAAAGTGACTTCATTCTATCTTTTCATCTTCCAATGCAGTTAATATAGTAGCATGTAGAGCTAACCATAAACTAATCATTTTGTTATTTTTTCCATTTCTACTGACAAAAGAAAGGAAATAGGAAAAGGAGAAAAATAGAAATTCTTACTATTAGTTTTCTGTGCTTTATCTGGTTGAATACAGATTATTTGGTGTTGTCAAAACTGCAATCATCATTTAACAGCACTGAGTAAGACTTCCTTTAGTAAACAAAGCAATCAAGGAAAAGAAAAAATATGGCAAATAAGCCAAACAAAATTAGCCATCAAGCATAATTCTTTTCATTAGCAAATTGATGTCTTATGTCAGAGACTTTCATATTCTATGATAGATGAATTTTAATATAGTCCTAATGAATATATGAAAAGGGAATTTTGACTCAAGATTCTGTGTGGGAGATCAAAGGAGAAGTGATGTCCAGTTATACAGAAAATGTGAAATTTTTCATCCTGGGGTTTAACTTCACCTATGATTTTGTCATCAAATAGGTGACTTTCATCATATTTGGAATTAAAAATTCCTAATGACAAGGGTTGTGGCAATTTAAGGATCTCCAGTAGGAGGAGGTTGGCTTTGCAACATGGGAGGCAGCAGAGAGATGGGTTGGTGGATCCTGCCACCTATCTGCAACACAAGATTTTTGGTATCATTCACACTCCATGACAATTTCTGAATATATAGTATTTACTGACAAAAGGCACCAGTTGCCTCTGGGAGGGAAAATGTTAAAAGTAAAATTCAGAAGGAAGTGAATACATGGGTTGCTATGCTTGTTATTCATTGAGTGTTTTTGACTTGCTAAAAGCAAGTTTAATGTATTTATACAATTTATAAAGATGTAACTGATGCTAAAGCTCTGCTCTTTACAGGGAACATATTTCATGTTATTGTAAGCACTAGAGAAAATTAAATCAATAAATCTACAGCCTGTAATTTGAGATACCCAATTGAAGAAAAATACATTGTCAGGGAAGGGGGGGAATCATTCACAATGAAGAAGATTGTAAACCTGCCTTTGCTCTACTACCCTATGATTTCAAGTGATAGAAAGAATTAAGCTCCTACTCTAAAATTCTTTAACAATTCTCAAAAGAAACCAAGGCCAACTCCCTACTTTTTAGTTATTCATCTATTTAATATTATTATTTTTTTACTTTTTACATCATTGTTCATTTAAAAAAAAAATATTGGCTTCCCCCACCCCCTCAGGTGTAGTCCCTATAGAGTTTCCATCACCAATACACCTGTGCACCATCACCTCAGTCCCCTGTGATCCTCCTTCTGATCCCTCTCCCTCCTCTTCCCTTGAAGTATGTCTCTTGATTTATAATTGTCCCTTTTTGCTTTGTTGTGTTTTATACTGTTATTATTTTTTACACTGATGTCTTAATTTGGTTCCACTATATTCCTGCTATAAGTGAAACCATCCGATATTTTTCTTTTTCCTTCTGGCTTATTTCACTGAGCATAATTCCTTCTAGTTCCATCCATGTTACTGCAAATGGCATGAGTTTATCTTTTTTTGATTGCTGAATAATATTCCATTGTGTATATATGCCACATCTTCTTGATCCAGTCATCTATTTTTGGGCATTTGGGTATAATCAGGGAAATGCAAATTAAAACCACATTGAGATAACACCTTACACCATTGAGAATGGCATATATCAAAAAAAAACAAGCAACAACAAATGTTGGTGAGGATGTGGTGAAAAAGGAACTCTCCTGCATTGCTGGTGGGAGTGCCGACTGGTCCAACCACTATGGAAAGCTGTCTGGAGGTACCTCAGTCTACTAGAAATGGAGCTACCATATGACCCAGCAATTCCACTCCTAGGGATCTACCCAAGGGACACAAACATTTATTGAAAAGAACACCTGTACACCTATGTTTATTGCAGCACTATTTACAATAGATAAAACCTGGAAACAACCTACTTTTTTTCTTTTTTTTTACAATTTTGATTTTAAGATTTATTTATTTATTTATACAAGCACTGGGTACAGTCAGAAGCATGGGAAGGTGAGAGAATTCACCAGAGCCAGAGAGGGGAGCAGAACAGGCAGATTGACCAAGAAGTACACTGCTGAGGGGAGCAGCGGGTGGCAGGAGATGTAGACACACCATGTGGGACCCTCACCGGGCGGCCTCGCATCAAACCTGCTGCCCTGCCGAGGCTGCAGGCAGCTTCGCAGCCCAGCGCTCAACCGCTGTGCCACCAGGGAGGCCCACAACGTAATTTTTTAATGAAGTATATGCTCAAGCGGAAAGCCATGAAAATGAAGACACAAGAATGAAGCTCTTTCTCACTTTCTGAACTGTCCATGTCTTTCCCCCCACCCTCCAATAAAGCCTTTCTGGTTAGCAGCCAGGACTGGGCATCAGGAAACTTAGTGGATTTTTTCCCCATCACTGGCACTAATGCTGTCTGTGACCACTGCAAGCCAATTAGCCTCTTCCAGCATCACCCTTCCATGTGTAAAAGGTTAATAGTGCAGCTTGTTTGCAAAGTGCTTGGTGGCTTCCATGAGGGGCACCATATAAATACCCAGCATTGCTGTTTGACTAGAGGGTGTTTATTTTTTTTTAATTATATGTTTGGTTGGATAGGTTATAGATTTTGTTGTGCTTGAATGTCGCCCCTTCTCCCTGGTTACAAATAAAAGACTAACAGGTAATCTCACTCTATTACCATCTTCTAGAGCCCCCTAGAGGGTTAAGGGAATGGCAGAGGTTATAATTAATTATGCATTCTTTTGTTAATAAAAAAAGATCACATGTATCTTAACTGCATAATAGCTCTGGATGACAATTTACTAGGCCAAGTGTTTCATCACATGCTAAGCAGATAGTGCTGGTAAAGACTTACGAAGTTATGAGTTGTTTTTTCCTGCTCTTCCAGTAATTCTTTCATCCTTCACATCAATATAGAGCATTAGGGACAGTTTTGTTCAGGTTTATTTCAAATGGGCTTCCAAATATTTGGAAAAATGATGCTTTTATTCTGGAACTCCTGAAACAAGTGACTTGTGTATATCTCTAGATGGTGACTTTAAACTCACTGTTTTATTATATTTGGAGCAAATGTGAATAATACTGGCCTTAGAGCAAATGTCATACATCTCATGCTTTTTTGCAGATTTACGGAAAAACTTTGAACAAGATCCACAGGGAAGGGAGGTTCCTATTGAAGGCATGATTGTGCTGCACTGCCGCCCCCCGGAGGGGGTCCCAGCTGCTGAGGTAAGACACTAAGACATGGGGGGGCACTTAGGAGGAGCCAGGTCTGTTCCCAAGAAGCTATAAGTTAAGTCAAATGCTGGTATTCTTGCATTCTGGACCCCACTGCTAATGAAGTCGCAAGAGGAAATTGTTGCCTGTCTACTTTCTCGTTAACACCAAGCTTGTGCTAGGCAACCTGGGTAACGTTTGGTCCATGTTGCATTTGGTGACATTCAGATCATTTAGGTGTTACCCTCTGTGTCCTTAACCAGTGACTATGGGTGCTCTGATATACACTCTGACTGTAGTCTATACCTGAGCTCTGACGGGCAAAGTCTCATGAAAAGATCACAGGGAAGGAGGTATGGGGTTGCTGGGGTTACACTTAAACTCATTCTTCATCTATTTATGGAACAAACACTTCCTGAGCATGTATTGTGTTTTAGGCACTGTACTGGCATCAGGGGTAAAGCCGCAGGCCTTTGTTAACTTTCCTTCAAAAGAAAGTGCCTAGAGTCCAGAGTTACTATGGATTTTTAGTTCTTTGTTTTGTAGAATGTGTACCATGCTATTAGGGTATAATTGCACTAGCACACTATGTGACAGGGAAGGTTTTCTGAATCTTTTGGCCTGTTAAAATGTTTTTTTTTTTTAAGATTTATTTATTTATGCATACAAGAACTGGGGTACAGGCCAGAGGTACCCCAGTTCTTTGTTTTGTAGAATGTGTACAAATCCTCTCACCAGAGGATTCACCAGAGACAGAGTAGGGAACAGAACAGGAAGATCAGCAGAAATACACTGCCGATGGGAGCAGCAGGCTAGTCAAGAGAGGTCTGCTGTGCCATGTGGGTTGCTCCCTGGCTGGGGATCGAACTCATGCTGCAGTGGCTGCAGATAGCTTCATAGGTTGCATCTTAACCCCATGATTAATAATACTGTTATTAAGACAGTATGGGAAGGTGGCTCTAAAGTACAGCCTGTGAAGGGACACCTGGTAGAATGATTAGTTTATAAGCATAGATCTGAATTAAGCAGTAGTTATAGATCTTCTCTGGGAAGCCAGAAAACTGTGCCTAGAACTCTCATTTATTTACTGAGAAGTAGAGATAGTTAAAAAAAAAAAAAAAGGAAGAAGAAAAGCTGGATTATTTACCTCATATTGTAGCTAAAATTACCATAGGGTTTTATATATTTTTAAATATTTATTTATATATGCATGAAAGAACTGGGGTACAGGCCAGAGGTGGGGGGTTGAGAGGATTCACCAGGGACCGACTGAGGAGCAGAACAGAGAGATCTACTGAAATACACTGCTGAGGGGGTAATGGGGGAGACAGGAGAAGTCTGCTGCACCATGTGGGTCACCTCCCTAGCCAGGGATCTAACTTGCATTGCAGTGGCTGCAGATAGCTTCATAGTGTTGTGTCTTAACCCCTTTTGCCACCAGGGAGGTCCCAGGGTTTTATATTTAAAAAGACAAAGGGGTGAAGAAAATAAACGGGAACAAAAAAACTCCATACTCTTGCCTATTTAGACAGAAAGCACGCTGGGTGGACACTATTCGAAGCTCAAATGGCTCACAGAAATGAAGTAAACGGACTTGAAAATTAAAGAGAACATTCCATGCATGATATGAAATGATTAGAAAGGAAAATGCTTATTTTTAGATTTTTATCTAATGCGGAACGGAAAATTGTTTGAGCCTCTCTTGCCACCTTCTTGCTCCTTAAAGCTGTGTGCTAGTTTGCTGATTGGGGTGACAGCCAGCAGGGCATTAAGTGCCTGGGAGAGGTGTCAGTCTTGTTTAGGCCACTCCAGGCACTCCTGGGAGTTATCTGATATCAGCAGTTTGTTACAGTCACTAGCCATCTCTTAAAATCCCAATTTCCAAGTGTTTCATGCACCAAAATGCCTCACCTCTGTCACACGTGCTGTGTGTACAGCGGGGCTTTCCTCTAAGCCCATGCTCGGTCACTACTCCACTCTGGCGGCTGATGAGAGATGGAAGTGGGAGGGGAGGGTGTGTATTTATTAGCTTTCTGCCTACAGGAACCTCGTGTTCTCTAGGTATCTCGTATATTGATTTTTACAGCTGGAAGAGAACTTAGATATTTACCTGACACTGCCTTTACATTTTGGAGGCAAGAAAACTGATGCTCAGTTCTATCACTTCTCAAAGGTCTTGCACTCGGTATAAGTCCGTGTTCTTATGGTATCTTGCATGGCCCAACGTCATCTGGCCTCCTGCTACCTCTAGCCCTCTACAGCCAATTGGCATCCTCACTCAATGCCAGATCATGCTCCTACCTCACGGCTATTATGGATATGAGGACCCCTCTGCTGGAACATTCTTCCCTAGCCATAATGTTGCTTCACCCCTTCCTTAAGGGCTTGTTCAAATAGCAGCTGCTAAGTGAAACCTGCTGTGGACACTGTTAAGAAAGTCATTTCTCTAGCCCAAACTTGCACTGTTAAATATCTTCTCTTCTTTATATTTCCTTCCCCGCAACTCCTGTCACAAACATACTGCATTTACTTTGCTTATTTTTGTCTGTTCCACTGGACATTAAACTCCGTGGGAATTTTTTTTTTTTTTTATCACTGTCTTCCCAGAAAATAAATCAGTGTGTCCACATCCAGGTGCTCAATATATCTTTGTTGAATATTAATGAAAAGTAGTTTTCTGCTTACACCAATGAGTGAGGGATACCAGGAGCAGCCCCCCAACTAAACTTTGAAATCCATTAGAGTTTTGTTTATCTCCCATTCTGGGTACTAGTGACAAAAACTTCTTGACCTGCTCTGGGGATAAAATTTTACAAAAGGAAAAGAAAGAGAAAGCAAAGGAGAAAAGGTTCAAGAATGGGCAGTGTATTGAGATAAAGGCAAAAGAGAAAATATGCTTTGATGTGCAAGTGCATCTTTGAGGGCGCACAACAGCACAACAGCACCCACACACTGAAGTGTCATCCTAGGGATGGCTGGGGATTGATGAATTACAAGGACTCTGAGGCCCTTGAGGGTCAAGGTTGGTAGAGGGGATTGTGTGAGGGAATGACTTACCGCTAGACTAAGCAGCTCCTTCTGCCCCACCTGCTGGGAGAGGCCTGGACTTGGGTCGAAGCTTGGCAGCAGCTCTTTGCACATCCTCCATTTGTCTTTCTCTAACACCCTATATTTGAAGGCAAATGAGTTCTGTCTATTAGCTCAATCCATTTTCCATCTTCATTCGCTTCTGATAGTGCTGTTCAGCTATAACCACAGGAGCAAGAACAGGATGTGAAAAACTTTCAGGAGCAGCACAAGTCAAAGTCAGTGAAAACATAGTTGAGGGAATTGTTGACCAGGGGAGGCAGACTTTTCAGAAAGAAAGTCTGCTTCTTTTCTGGTCCTCACCCTCTTCCCAGATTTCTAATCTGTATGTATTCCCTTCCTGCATTTGTTTCTAGGACTTCTGTGACAAATTACCATAAAATGGAGACTTAAACCAGAGAAATGCATTTTCATACAATTCTAAAGGCCAGAAGTTTGAAATCAGGGTAGAAGCAGTGTTAGTTCTTTCCTGGGGCTCTCGAAGAGAATCTGACCACACTTCTTTCTTGGCTTATAGTTGCCAGCAATCTTTGGTGTCCCTGGGCTTGTGAACTCATCTCTTCAGACTGTAGTCTCTGCCTCTGTCTTCACATGACATTCTCCTCTTGATGTCCCTGAATTCCCCTCTTCTTATAAGGACACAAATCACTGAATTAGAACATCTGTGAAGTCCCCTATTTCCAGATGTACTCACATGCTGTGGTTCCATGTGAGCATGAATTTGTGGGGGAGAGGGCACTGTTCAGCTCAGCACACTTCTCTTTCTCCCTTTGACATCATGTCACTCTTTTATTTTAATCATGTACATGTACTTAGGGATAAATTTCAGAGCCAGTCTCTGAAATTAAATAGAGGGCATTCCAAGGAACAGCTGGAGCTTTAGGATGGCTTCAAACAGAAATTCTGAGCTGAGGCAGATGTGGGAGGGGCAGAAGCTTTGTTTTCTACATTCTGTATTATAGATGGATATGAAGAGTGTTTCAGCTGCATTGTGGGTTAAAAGGACTATTGTGGGTCCCTAACAAGCAATTTATAGCATCATTTTCATGTGGGGAAGCATCCCAGTTCCAAGCACTTGAATTATTTTAGAATTTCACTTCTTTATGAGTTGGATAGTACCTATATCTGTGCACTAATATTTACAACTCTTTTAGATTCAGCAACAACTTACACAGTAGCTATTACCATCTGCATCTGTGTTTTTGTTGGAGAAAGGCAGAATGAGAGGAGATACCTGAGAGAGAAAAGAGCCAAGACAGAGAAGGACATGGAACTGTTCATAAGTTTGCACAGTTGGGGCATCCCAGGGTAGGGACCTCTGTCTTCAGATCTTGGGGAGGTGTATCTCTATGTCACTGACTTACAGAATCATGAGGATCCTACAGTTAATGATTGTTCAGTATGGAGTTATGGGGAATGGTGCTTAGAAATCCGTCAGTTATATAATTGTCACGTAATATATTATTAGTCAGAGTTCTCTCTGCTCAGCAGACCATGTTGAACATCTCCACTTTACCATTCAGTCTGGTTCCCTTTCTGCCAACCAAGGGGCCCATGGGGTCATCCCTTGAAAGAGTTGTAACTGGCAGGGAGACAGCTGGTTTTGTCCTGCAGTGGCATAGGAGGGCTCCTACTAGGTACATGGAAAGGCACCATGAGAAGCAAGTTCAAGTTATGTTTTCACGAGCGGTAGAAGTTTCTTCTCACCACTATATAAAACTTTCTGGGTAACTAATTTCTCTTTATGACCAGAGAAAGAGGTTTGTATAAGAATACTGAGAGCTGCCTTGATAAATTGTTCTCATGTGCCAGACACTGTATTTAGTGATTTTCTGATATTTAAATTACTAATAGAGACCACTGTGAGATTTCAGAAAGCTATCAATGTTTTCAAGTCTGTCTTACAGGAACTTGTCCACGCTCTC